ATAAAATAATAATTTATAAATGATCAAGGGTTCAGGGGGAGGGGGGAGCAAGGAGGGAGGGGGAAAAAGGAGGAGCTGACACCAAGGGCTCAAGTGGAAAGCGGGTGTTGTGAGAATGATGAAGTCAACATATGTACTCATGTGCTGGACACATGACGTATGTACGGATTGTGATGAGTTGTATGAGCCCCTAATAAAATGATTATTTAAATTTTAAAAATGAGGCTTCCTATTCCTGTACAGAGGTAAGTCTTGGGAGCTTATGGGGGCAGTTCTACCCTGCCTTACACAGGGTCACTGAGTCAGCATCGCCTCTTTGGTCGTGAGTTTGGTTTTATTGACATATAATTCAGATACTGAATAATTCAGAGGTTTAAATATATTAAAAAGAGTTGTGCAGTCACCACCAGAATCAGTTTTAGAACAGTTCTCTCTTCTTGTACCCATTAGTATTAGCTTCCCATTGCTCCTCAACCTTCCCTGCCATAACCCTAAGCAACTATTAATCTAGGTACTGTCTTTATAGGTTTTTCTATCTGGCATTTCATGTAAAGAAAACCATACCCAAAAAACTCAACGATGACAACAACAGAACACAGGAAACCTCTATCAAAGTGAGAGCAGAATATAGTAGAAACTAGAACAACAGCAACAAACAAAATGGGGCAAACGAGAAAACTAATGAACCTAAGTTAATATTTGACCTAAATATAGCTGGAGGCATCCACTTTCCAGTGCATTCTGTTTGCCTGGTCAGTGGTCTGACGGAATTCCTTGTAGGCTTAATCACATGGGGACTATGTTAATGGATTTTGGGTTTTCACTACCATCCATAGCGCTCTGCATACTGCGTGCTCAGAATTTAAGCTCTAATGTAATTCTCTTGTCTGGTCTTGGATTTTATTATTTACAACCCTTGGATCACACAGGTTGTTGAGTTCCTCATGGAAACTTAATGAACACCTCATTTAGATGTTTGTTTCTTTTAAGACAAGTTGTTAAGACTCCAAACACTATTCTTCCTGATAACCGATCACTATATGATTTCTTCACCACACTATAGTACCCATATCTTCACTGATCACTTCATGGGGGCAAATACTGAGCCAAGGCCACATGGTAAGAACTAATTGTTCTTAGATTGGGGCTCACGATTAATTGTGAGTTTAAAATCCATTAGTATAGTTGAAGTTTATGTATATTCCTGGTCTACTTTAGAGCACCATTATCAGCTTGTCAAGATATAATTTAAGTAACCTCCATAAGACATTTAATCATTCTAATAATAGTGTCATTTATCTAGCCAATGGTATAGCATTTAAAGTGCGATTGAGAAAGGGAAAATTATAGGAAAGCTTTTTAAAATCCATAGGCTGTTCACTTATTCAGGTTAAAAACTTAAGTAACTGAACACTATGAAAACAATGAGGATTAGACACAAAGCACCCAATTAAATAATGCTCTTTCACTAAGGCAAAACTATGCAGGACTGTGACCTATCACAGCCAGCAAAGAAAGTATGAAAATAGCAAGAATGTAGTAGCCTTAAACTGCTAGTTATTGGGCAATCTCAAAAGCAAGAGATTGGAACGAAAGTCCAAATCCACAACCTTGGGTCACAGTCTTCTGTTTCCTCTCACACTAATGTGTTTCTACTTAAATACGGACTAGAAGTAGCCCTGGTGGTATGGTGGCGTGGTTAGGCGTTGGACTGTGATCTGCATGGTCGGCCTTTTGAAACCACAAGCAGCTCCTTGGGTGAAAGACGGGCTTTCTACTTCGGTAAACAGTCAGTCTCGGAAACCCTCTGGGTCCCAATGAGTCAGCATTGGTTCATAGGCAGCGAGTTTGGTTTTGGGGAGAATTTCTCAACCCTTGATTCATATATTCGCCTATAGAAATTGACTTAAGCTAAGCAAATCAGTTTTTGAGTAGAATTTTAACTATCTCCTTTATTGTGGGGCTCTCCCTTCCCACAATTAAACATTTTTCCCTCGGTGAATTTGGCCAGATGGAGAGGGGATATATTAGATGGGGTAGTATTTTTTATTGTATTGGTTCAAATAACATTAACGAGCCCATGTTTAGTGCTTGGTACTGTGTTACTGGCTGAGGGTTCAGTGATAGATGATATAGGTGTTGTACTCAAGCTGAGGGTGGGGGTGGTTTTAAAAAAGACAGGGATTTTAAGCATGGCTTGCTGTGAGCTCTAGTAGAAGTGTACAAAGAAAGAGGGTTTTCCAAGCCCAGATAATGGTGCATTAATTCATGGCAGGAAAGATTTTCTGAAAGTGACAGTAACTTGATATTGAAGTATGAATGGAAGTCAGTGAGATAATAAGGAGGAGTTAGGTTATTGTGAGAGGCAGAAAACCCCACAGAAAAGGATGCATGGTACACCTGTGGGAAACAACATTTTAAGTGCCTGAAGCTTAGGCTTGAACACAGGGACTTTCTGCCTCTGGCTGTCCATTTTCCCAGAATCTGAAAGGAAGGCAGGAGGGTGACCAGGAGGGAGGGTAAGGACCTCATAATCTCACTCGAGGCCAGGTTTCCTAGTATTGGCTTCTCTGGGGACTTTAGTGATCTGCCTCAGGAGGTGAGGGTGTCATGCTGAAATAACTTGAAACCAAATGAACAGCAGGGATGTGCTTGCAGTTCATACTATTGCTTTGTGTTTTGCTACAGCTGTTGCCTATCCATACTCTGAGGCTCGGTGTGGAAGTAGATTCCTTCGATGGACACCATTACATCTCCTCTATTGTTCCAGGCGGCCTTGTGGCTACGCTGAGTCTCCTTCAACCAGAGGATGAGCTGCTGGAGGTAAAATATGTGAGGGAAGAAAGGCATCATTCAGTGTAGAAACTTTTAAGCTCTACATTTTAGTCTAAAAGAATGTGTTATCAATAGTCTCCTCAAATGCACTGCATGGCAGTGTCCTGTGAGCTTCATACACTGAAAACTACCACCAGCTTGTCGGTTATCAGTGACACAGATGATAACGCAGGAAGGTAACGTGCTTTCCATTCATTTTCCCTACCTGTGAAGGTTCCTGAGTGCCCCATGTCCCTTTGTGTTCTTACTTAGCTGACTGACGAAGAAAAAGCTAATGTTTCAGAGCATTCTTTTATGCTATTTTTTTAATGTCAAATTATGTGTAAGAGTTGAATCACTAGTTCTGGGTTGGAACATGGGTCACAGTTGCAGATTTGTTGATTATTTCTAAGCAGAGTTACAGCTGGTTGGCCTCAGACACCTTATTTGATTGAGTTTTCAAACTGTTTCCTGGGAACTCCTCCCAACACGGCTGCCTCTCGTGGCTCCTTCAGTCTCCTCCGCCCCCCGTTCAGTCCGAGCCGTCACAGCAAACGAGTTAAGAACGCGACATTTGTACTTACAACTCTCCATTTTACAGATGGTACGGCACTGGCTTCTCCAACTTTACACATGGATTTAATGGGAGAAACTTCTTATCTTTCCTCCCTCCCACTTCATCATCCCTTCGAGTATATTACACTCATCTATGAAAGAGATTTGGGGGATGGTGAAATTTGGAGGATGCTACCTAAAAAAAGAGTTCTCCCAAGAGATAGGATCCACAAGAATCCCTGTTGTTGTTGTTGTTGTTGTTGTTGCTCGGGGCCGTTGGATTGTTTCCAACTCCCAGTGACCCTGTGTGCAGCAGCATGAAAGACTGCCTCACCCTGCATCAGCCTCACCGTTGCTTGAGCCTTGGTTGCAGCCGCTGTGCCAATCCATCTTGTCAAGGGACTTCCTCTTTTTTCGCTCTCCTCTTACGTTACCAAGCATGCTGTCCTTCTCCAGGTCTGGTCTCTTCTGACAACGTGTCCCAAGTACGTGTGATGAAGTTTTGCCATCCTTGCCTCTAAGGAGCATTCTGGCTGTGCTTCCTTCAAGGCAGATCTGTTTGTAACTTTGGCAGTCCGTCCACGATCCTCTCACCATTCTTTGTCAGCACCGTATTTCAAACGCACCGATTCTTCTTCAATCCTCTTTAGTCACGGTCCAACTTTCACATGCATCTGCGAAAGGCCAGGGAAAATACCCTGGCTTGGGTCAGCCCACCCTCGTCTTCAAAGTAACAAGTATCCCTAGGTTGAGTTTATTAGAAACCAGTTTACAGCTTTAGGATTATAGAGGGTTCTTTCTGAAAGTTACGTTTGTTCAAAGTGAAATGACAGGGGTAGAAGTGGACCTCACAGTGAGTGCAGTTGAAGTTCATTAGTATTGGTTGGTCACCTAGAGGGTGTGTTGAGCAGAATTCTGGTGTGAATTTTTCACTCAGAGGGAAGAACAACTGTTGTAGTGAATCAGATTCTCCCATAAGCCTGGGGGCAAGGGACCTAGAGCCGGAGGCCTGTTGTAAGCTGCAGGGAGCTGCTCAAAGGCCTGGTGTCGGGCTGCTTGTTGGAGATTGATGCCTTAGATCTCAGGAGATGGCTGGATGCTGACGTCATGTATTTCTCTTCTGATTGGTAGGATATGCGGCACAGCTTTAGAGACATCATAAATGATAGCCTGTAGGTGAGAGGCCTTTCCTATAACAACATGTGGTTATTTGGTTTTAAGAAATGAGCGAGGTGTTCAGGAATATAGGACTATCTGTAAAAATTCATTTCCTACTAGTTCATGTCTAGCAAGGTCCTAAAGAAATGCTGACTGGATGTGAGTGGAGCAAAATATAAGTGATCTCAGCCGTCAGGCGAGTTGACCTGTGCCTTACCTCATTTCTACTTAAGCATCAAAAAGATATCTTTATGCCACCATGCTGTATCAAATTCTGTCACAAAGCGGTAGGCCCACAGGCGTTCTGACGCATTGCTTTTGGAGAAAGTACAATTTGAGATGGGGAAAGAAGGCCAGGTGTGGATGTGAGAAGAGTTGTTTTTGGTTTTGAGCGCGCCTCAGCTTAGCTGTGTGTTCATATCAGTTTATTCATGGCTGCCCGCCAGGACATACCTTTGGCATAAGCCTGGCGAGAACGTGCTTTCTCTCTGTGCTCACGTCATCAGCAAAGACCAGCTAATCACCAGGAAGGATGTCATGTTTGGGGAAGTAGAGGGTCAGCATGAAGGAAAGCCTCCATTAGATGGCTTGACATAACACCTGTAATGTTAGACTCAAACCTGCTGCTGATCAGGGCATCGGCACAGGCACAGGCGACATACGTTCTGTTGGACATGCGGTGGCCCTCAGTTGGAGCCTGCTGGACAGCAGCAAACCGCAGCAGCAACTTCACTGTGAGGAACCACAGTGAGCATCGTTTTATCTCGCACCGAGGTACTGAGCGTTTCACCGTGGAAAAGGCATCAGAACAACTTTTGTTGGCTAGGATGAGGATTGAAAGGAGCTCTGGTGGTGCTGGTGGGTAAGTGGTGGACTGCCAACCCCAAGGCTGGTGGTTCAAACACGCCAGCTGCTCTGTGGGAGAAAGATGAGGTGGGCTGCTGCACTGCGGAGTTATAGCCTCAGAAATCCTATATAAGGTTGCTGGGAGTCATAGTTGGCTCAATGGCAATGGGTTTTATGATGATTGAGTGAGGTGACTTAAATGGAACACTGCTTGCATAATACTATATGCACTGGAAATGTGTAAACGTCTTTTCTAATAAAAAATTCTGGATAATTGAGACTTCAAAACACTGAAGAGGGTCTCAAGTTGAGGGGTCTAGAGGAGCTGTTCTCAACCTGTGGGTCACGACCCCTTTGGGGGTCAAACGACCCTTTCACAGGGGTTACCCGATTCATAAAAGTAGCAAAATTACAGTTATGAAGTAGCAATGAAAATAATTTTATGGTTGGGCGGGGGGGCCACCACAACATGAGAAAGTGTATTAAAGGGTCACGGCATGAGGAAAGTTGCGAACTTTTCTAAAGTGAAAACTGGCTTGTTCTAAGTAACAGAAATAAAAAGTCTTCCTAACATTAGCCAAACAAACTCCTGAATTTAAAGTGTGTGTGCGTGTGCTTAATGTATTCCTTGGAGCTTAAAACCAGAAACACAAATATGCTTTGGGGTTAGAACACTGCGCCGTCTCAGCCCAGAACATCTATTTGCAGCAACCATAAATCTCCTTAGATAGGAGTTGGTAATGGGAAATGTGACCAATCCCTTTAGCTGTAGAGAGTAGTGAGGAGGACTACCAGGCACTGCTATAATAATTGGAGACAATTCAAATGAATAAATGATAAGCTAAATAAATATTTAAATGTACTCTAAGATAAAAACCTGAAAAGTGACTTCCCAATTTGTTGAAGTCACGTGAATCACAAACTAATACTGGTGTAAGGATAGGACTCCTGCCTGCACGGTATCTGCGTGCGTGCTTTCAGTGCAGGTAGCTGCTCAGTCATGTGGTTTTAGAACTTTGATGCTCTGGCATCTGTGGGTCCCATGGACAAGGTGTGACCAGTGTCCTTTCTCCCTGCCCCTTCCCTCTCTTGAGAAGACTGAAATGCTCACTTCCAAGCAGTCACCTTGAATGTACTGCTGAAGTTGCTACTCCTTGGACCCATGTCATCAATCCTGGGAGATGCTGTTTATTTTCCAGTAGAACTAATTCTCTGAGGCACAAGTGGGTCTCTTGTCCACGCGGTGATTTCTTTGTAGATAATTAAGGAGGTAGGGAGGTTATGTCTGGCCTGATGGCCAAGTGCTTGGTATGTTAGAGGCTTAAAAGGAGCTCCCTGGGCTGACTGACTGGAGGCTGAGCTCGATGCAGCTTCCAACCATCCTCACTCATCCTGTTCTCGACTGCAGTGGTTCTCAACCTTCCTAGTGCAGTTGTGGTGACCCCCCAACCATAAAATTATTTTCGTTGCTACTTCGTAACTGTAATTTTGCCACTGTTAAGAATTGGGTGACTCTGTGGAAGGGTCATTCGACACCTCCAAAGGGGCCACGACTCAGGCTGAGAACCGCTGCTCTAGTGCAAAGACAGAGCTTGTGGGGGTGTTACTCCCAGTAGAGGTTAAGTCAGCCCCTGCCAGTTACCCGAGTATTAGCACTGTTAGAAACCAAAGCCATGTTAGAAACACCTGCAACTCCTTTATCACCACTTACTTCTCGTTTTGGATTTTGTTGTAATGTGTCTTTAGTAACGGAAGGCATGTTGAGACCAAGAACAATTTTTTCTTCTTTGTGCGAGATCGTAAGAATTTTTGATACAGTGATGTGGGACTCACATGCCCTAAGTGGATTCTTGGGGCCAGGCCCATTTCTCTAGATTTGTGGAGTGATCCACATGTAGTTTTGCGAGTCTCCATCAGGTGGCAGCGTGCTCTATAACAGATAGCTGCTGCCAAGAAAGTTGAGAGGGAACATGTTAGTGGGTGAGATGTGTTCCATGGGCCACAAAAGGGGTAAAAATAAGAATGCTGGTAAACCCTCAAAGGTGAGTAGAATTGATGTGAGAAAATGTGAATTTTTTTTCATCAGTTATTTTTGTAGTTTAGAATTAGCAGTATGTAAGATATGAAAGATAACTGCGGACTGATGCTAAATTTGGGCAAGCGAATATCTTAGATATCATCTAAACATTGCATATTAGATATTAGAATATCCTAGATATTATCTATTATCGTCTATTAAGCAGTATTTATTATCTGTTCAAATTAGTGTCAATAGCCTTATGAAACGAAACGTGTGAAAGGAAAGAGTACTAACACATCTTTAAATAATAGCTAATCCCTGGGAGATTCAAACAGTGAATGTTCTAAGCTTATAAACAAAAGGCTGGAGGTTCAAATCCACCCAGAGGCTCCTCAGAAGAGAGGCTTGGTGATCTACTTCTAAAGTCAGCCAGCGAAGGCCCTACGGAGTCCAGTTTGTCTCTGAAACACAGTGCTTAGGGGTTGTAATTTAACCTATAGCAACTCTGTGTGTGTTTGTGTGTGTGTGTGTGTGTGTGTTTTAAAGGATGGTCTGTTTTAAAGATGAAAGCTCATGGCTATCAATTCTAATTCTGACTCCTATCCACTCCTTAGGGCAGCGTAGAACTACCCCACAGGGCAAGGCTGTGCATCTGCTTGGCAGCAGGCAGCCACTTCTTTCTTCTGCAGAGCAGCTGGTGGATTTAACCCCCTGACCCTTCATTTAGCATTTGAGCACTTACCTACTGTACCACCGGGCTCCTCTTTAAGGAGAGGGGTGAGCACAGTAACATTGGAAGGTCAGAAGGAAAAGCATGGAGATGGAATAATGAGGCAGGTTCCCCTCCCTCCTAATAATTGTACTTTGCACACATGTTATACTTTGTCCTCACCCAAACTCAGTAAAGGGATTTAACCTTAAGTTTCATACATGTAAAGTTTTTTCTAATGTTTTAATTAATTACTAAAATTATAACATTGCATTTTAGCCTTTGCGTTAACAAGGAGAATTAGACTGTCTTTTTTAAAATAAAATTTGAAGGATGAATGTAATTAACGGGTTTTTTGTTTGTTTCTTTGCTTTTTCATTTGGACTCTCCTCAATTTTAATGTATTGTCCTTCCAGGTCAATGGTGTGCAGCTCTATGGGAAATCTCGCCGGGAAGCAGTCGCCTTTCTCAAAGAAGTGCCACCCCCCTTTACCATGGTGTGCTGCCGACGGTTATTTGATGACGATGCCTCTGTAGATGAACCAAGGATCATTGCACCCTCTCCTGAGCTGGAGGTAGTCAATGAATAGACTGCAATTCCCATTCATCAAGATGTCCTTGCTCTGGGATGACAGTTTGAAGGGGTGGGTGGAGATGGGGAGAGCTTCCTTTGCCGTTCCCCTCCTCTCCCCTCCCGACAAAAAAGATGTTTCTATAGTGTTCTCAGTCAAAGGCAATGCATAACTCTTCAAACAATTAGTTTCATACAATATCATGAAATTCTTTTGTTTCTTTACCTGGAAATGCCGGTGACATTAATGTGCATGAACTTTTATTTTAGAGAGCCTTTTTTAGTAATTGCCTGAGCTCATTACTTTTTGCTCCCAGTTCAACTCAGCTCATCTTAATAAGTTTAAGATGTTGGTGAGTGTTGAATATCTAATGGACTTCCCTTTTTCAGATGCTTAAAAATACAAAGATCTATGACCAATTTGGAAGTGAGTTTAGAAATTGCTGTAAAAACCTTCAGGAGGTCAGAGAATGAAGTAATACTTTCTGTGTTCTGAATACTTCTTTTTACGAGCATTGTAATTATGAACACAGCTTTGAGCACACACATTGCCATCTGTCGACTGGAACCTCATCCTTTTGCCCACTCCCCCCTTTCCAGACTCTCTCAGATTATCGTTCAATACCAGTTTAGAGACTTGTAGCCTACCCATTTCTCCATGGAAGATTTTCATTCCAAGATAACTTGGGCCCTAATCATGGCCTCAAACTATCTGATTGATTCTAACTCCTAGTGATGTGTATGTTTCAGGGTAGAACTGCAGTACTGGGGTTTTCCAGGGCTGTGACCTTTTGAAAGTAGGTCACCAGGAATCCTGGCACTACCACTTTGGGAACTAACTTTACTTTCTGTTCTTTGTAGTCCTCATCTGAAAATAGGGGTGGTTAAAAGTCCTAACCCACTTCATAAATGGGTGAGAGGAGGCAATGAAATAACACAAATTTCTACACATAATGTTTTGTATGTGGAAAGTAGTCATTGAGTGTCAGCTATAGTTATTAATGCCTCCAGCCTTTGACTCTTCTTTTTCTGAATTTCTAAAGGACTTAGGAGCATAGCACTGCTTTATAATAATTGATACTCTTAATGTTTGTTAATCTTGGTTTTCCAAGAACACTGTCAGCTCACTGAGGGCAAAGACCATTATAAAATTATTTGTATGTCCTAGTATGTTTCCTCTGTATCGGGCTTAGAAAAGATGCTTGAGTAACTTAATGATTATAAACTGAGACGCTTTTAGTTTTTCTCCCCAGCGCTTATCTTTTGTAAGAAACACTTTGAAGAGTGGACGCAGAAGCTATACCTTTGTGACTTTTGCTGCCCTTAATGAAAAAGGGATGCGGGTGGCTTACCTCTGAACGCCGATAAAAGTGCCTTTAATGTAATCTTACAGGGTGTGTAAATCACCCACCCAGCTTGCTGACTAGATGCGCTCATCAGTCACTCCTTACCACAATGGGAGAGCAACAGCTTTGAATTATGCTAAATGTCCACCATGCTGCCCATTAGTTGATTGCTTTCTATTCTGTGAATAGCGGGGTTATGCAGAATTGATTATATAAAAAATGATATCTATCAGCTTGGAGTATAGTTCTGCATACATGTTGGAAGCCTTGGAAGTTCAATAAACTTGGAATTTATAATCGTATCTGGTTTCATAGAACCCTGGTTCTCTCTTCTTTCTCTTAGTTCTCATTTATCAGGATGCCGTCTTATGTCCTTAATCCTTGCCTGGTCATTCAGCTCTGCCAGAATTCTAATATTCGTTACTCAAGGAGGTCATGAAATGTCCTAGTGAAGCAGCCACCATATTGTACAGTTATTGGAATGATGCTTTTTAGTGGAAGGGTCAAGTATACCACTTGAATCTTCAACCTCCAGTCTTGACATTAGACTGAAGTATACAGAGGTTGTGCATTCGGGACCTCCAGAACAATTTCATGTTTTGAAATTCAAGAACCAAGAACCTATTCCTTGGTTAGAATCCATCCACCATGAATTGGGTCAATGAAGGACCTTCCATGGCCTGCAGCCCCACGTTGAGATCTGAACCAACCCAAATTTTAAAAAGTTTTTTTTTTTAAGCTACAGGGGCTTACTTTTTCAAACGAGCGTTTGCCCCACTTTGATTCCATGAAACATATTTCTTGTATGTGTCTTTCAAAGTGAGTATGATGCATTTTCATTTACTAAGATCTCCGAAAGTTGTAAGAAACTTAGTTTTGAAGATATTCAGTTGATAGTTTAAAGGGAGTTTAGAAGGAACTTATTCGAGGATGGGTGGCTTGTTACTGTATTGAGCAAGTGTTGATCCGGTTCCTACGATGAGGCAGGCACTCTCTGGAATACATGACAGCCCTTGTGGCGTCTACAGTCTAGTTTAAGTGCTGGGGCTTTTTTAGATGGTAGGACTACAAAGACACAAGACCGAAGAAGTAAATTCTTGAGCTTTAGGTAGAAGTTCAAAGTATTGTGGGGATGATAAATCAGATGAAAACAGCGAGCCCTCCCTGTTATCCAGCCAGTACCAACTCATAGTGACTCTATGGGGTTCCCAGGGTGAATTAGCCAGGGGAACAGACTACCACATCCTTTTTCTGGCCAGCCACTGGTCAGTTCAAACTGCTGACCCTTTGGTTAGCACTTGAATGCTTAATCACTGTGCCTCCAGAGCTCTTGAAACAATAAAATCGGGGTGGGAGGGGCTTCAAAACATTTGTGGAATTTTCCATTATTTTTTCATTCCATATTTCCACTAATTTTTTTAAGCACTCTTGTGTTTCGGTAAATAGTATGAAAACAGAAGGTTGAAGCACTGTTTTTCTTCTGTGTAGTCAACTTACCGGTCCTCGATCCGATTCCTAGAATTCTATGTGACGGTGACTCTCTTCGCTGACAGTAGGGAACCCTGGAAAAGTGGCATTCTGGAGCGTGCAAGCAGGGACAGTAACGAGGACCCGTGTGCCAGCAGTTGTGCTGGCCTCCCTCCTGCAAGAACAGATGTGACTCAGGCAGCACAGTGATTTGATACTCTTCCTTCCCGACTTGGACTTTTCTTTTCATCTTCTCGTAGCATTAGTCTTGGAAAATTCTAGGAGGCAACCGGAGTGGTTTCTCTGTCACTTGCCCTGGCCTGTCTCTATTGGCACTTTTCTCTCTTTCTCTTGCTAAAGTTGTGAATTCAGGTATTGCTGCTTAAATATTATACCTTGTGTGATGTTTTCAATTTTACTTAAATTGCATATTTTTCCTTTTATGCTTCTAATGGGATGACAGAACTCATTAAAGTATAAGAGGTCAGTGGTCATACTTTGAATGTAATAGGTACTGTATATTTTAAAAACCAAACTGTCTGAACAATCTGCTTTTTTAAGAGCTTAATTTCGCCGCAGGTCTTAGATGTGACTGTGTGGCCCTGGTGCATGCCCCCTTTTTAAAAGATGGAAAAGAAGAACTACGCATGCCAAAGAGAATTCTCAGTTTGAGACGTTATGAAATGCTTGGGATGCTGATTCTTTACAGAACTGAAAGGACAGCATTTTGAATCAGTTCTCTCCTTTGGCATTTCAGGGAGAACACAAGGTCGATGTCAGCATTGAAGAAGAAGATGATGATGATGATGGAGAATTAGCTCTGTGGTCTGCTGAAGTCAAGGTCGTTGAACTTGAGAAAGATGACAAAGGCCTGGGACTCAGCATTTTGGATTACCAGGTATAAGGGTCCTTATAAAGTTTTCCTTTTTATTTCCGAGTGATTTTTTGTATTAAAGTTGTATAAAGTGGCTATTGTTTAAGGCATGCATTGACTTAATAGAAATGGAATGATTGTGCTGGGTATAATGCTGCCATCCAAAGATGAGGTGGTGGTGTTTCCTGTGATCTTTATAACTGATACCTCCCTCGTGAGTACAATGGTGGATGAGATAATAACTGGACAATACAGGAAGCAACAGCTTTATGCATGTGGGGGCCTTTGATATGGAGAGCCCCCACCCCCAGCTTTATGGAGATCTATTTCACACACCAGGGAATTCATTCCCTTGAAGAGTATAGTTCCGAGGCATTTACTGTAGCCACAGAGTTGTGCAACGGTGACCATCATCTTATTGTTTAACATTTTCAACAACCCCCAAAGTCAGCCCCATACAAATTTGTAGTCATTCTCCATTCGTCCTCTGTTCTCCCTCCCCCCTCCTTCATAAGGAGGGTTTTATATCCAGTCTTTTCTCAGTAACATTAATTTCATTGAGTTGGATCAAGTCGCAATGTTCTTGGGGAGACTCTAATGTAGTTAAGTAGTGGGCTGATGTTCTTGATGCATTTGGGATAAATGTGAAAGGTCACAGGGATGTCTGCACTATGTACCAGTTTACCAGTTATTATATTATTTTTAGAACTCTGACTATCATGGGGAATAAAGCTGTTGGCAAGAAATCTCTTCACTTTAAGATGCATATTTTAATACTTTAGTGCTGCCTAAACACTTGTGGTTTAATAAAGCAAAATGTACTCTATCAAAGCACATAAAATGCCAAGTGATATAAAAATCAATTCTTTTTTAAATATAATCAGGCAATCGGGAATAGATTAGAAGACAAATATTTTGAGCATTATGTAAGAACATTAAGTTCCATATTTCGGCAATGTAATTTAAGATAATTGAAATAGATTGTATCTACTTCACGTTTGCTAGCCTTGTCTTGTGCCAGGGAGCCCTCTTGGCTATTAGAACTTCTCTTTGGAATGTTATTGAATTATAAGTTGTTGATTTTTTTTTTAATGCATATTTTGAGAAATATTTTAAAGCCAGAGAATAACACTATGTGATTTTGACATTTTATATATTACGTAAAACTAGGGCATGTACGACAAATAGTAGGAGCTGAGCCTTTTCTACCTCCTCATTGCAACTGTATTACTTATCATGAAGTAAGTGGTTACTGAATTTCTCAGAATGATTGATTAAAGAAGAAACCAAACCAAACCCACTGCCATTAGGTTAGCTCCGACGCATAGCGATCCCATAGAGGGTTTACAAGGCTGTACATCTTTACGGGAGCAGACAGCTCATTTTTCTCACGTGGAGTGGCTGGTGAGTTTTCAACCCCTGATTTTGCTCTTAGCAGTTTAACATGCACATAGCAGTACTACACCAAAATTAGCCATACTGAATGAGCACACTCAGTGTGACTATTTGTTAGCCATCATGATCATTAGGATTTAGATGTGAGAAGGCCTTCCAGATGTGGTGTTGATGTGCAGCTAAATTATCATCATAGCAATTTATATATTATGTAGGATCTCTACATATTTGCATTCTTATATGACATTTATATTATCCGCTTCAGTGACATTGTCTGCATGTCTTATGTTTTTAATCTTACAAATATTAAATATTTCAGAGCTTAAAAAATGAAGTTGAATAAGAGATGGCTACGCTTCTTTAAATGCAGTGAATGACTTATTGTGCTTCTAGCCATCGAAAATGACGTTTTCTTGATGGGTCTGGTTACCAGAAGGTGGAAGGGTGGAGAACACACTGAATGGATTCAGTTGTGATGGATTGTTAACAGGGCTCATTGTGATTGCCATCCTGTGGGGGTGTAAAACAAACCATCCCAGAAGCAGGGAGTGGGGTGGAGTCTCACGACCAGCAAGAGAGAAAAAGCGGGAGTGGAGTGTGCCCTCTGGATCCCAAGATGCTTGAGCAGTGTTAGAACCTCCTGGACCCAGGAGACACCTGAGGAACAGCACAAGAGTGGCAGTGGAGCAGCAGTAGCAGAACCAAGAGCAGAGCCTGAGGCCGAGTGGTGGCCTTTTCTGCCCTCCCAGCAAGTGAAGCCAGTGTTTGTCCCGGGGCAGTACTGGCTTGTGGAGGCGGTGCCTCCAGGCACTTAATTGTGGGCACTAGCTTAATAAACCCAGGGAACTGGAGCTGGAGTTGAGCACATTCTGGGCTGATGCCTATAGTGAGTGGCAGGCCCTTTGGGCATTCATGGCCAGCCCTAAAAGATCTTTTTAATGTCCTGTGTAGGTCATAGACAAAAGCTCTGAGCTACTGAGAGAACAGAGGCCAGAGAGGCTTGCCTGTTGAAATATGTGATCAGTTCTAAGCTTTACACTTTAACATATATATATAAAATCAGTTTAAGCAACAGGAATATTTTTCCCATTACTGCATTCCTATAGGTGTGCATTAAAATACACATTGCTACTTCCAAAAAAGAATTCCATGCTCACTGCCATTGAATCAATCCTGACTCATAATGACCCCATAGGACAACATAGAACATTTTCCGAGGCTGCAGCTCTTTCCAGGAGCAGACAGCCTCCTCTTCCTCTTGCAGAGTGGCTGGCGGGTTTGAACTCCCAAACGTGGTTAGCAGCACAATGCTTACCCTAAAGCACCACCAACCCTTTCTATTTGTACTTGGGATTTCATTTTTTATCTTTATCTATAACATTTTAGGGTTTTCCCCGCCACGCATCTTCATCCTAATCGTCAGCGCATGTGCTTGGCATTTATGCCTCACCACTTACATGAAAAGACTTTGCTGCAAAAGGTCATTATGTTCTTTTTTTCTTTTTGACCTGTGTGTTTCTTGCAGAACCAATGGAAAGATGTATAAAATGTCCTAAATGCTACTTTTATTCAAATTAAAGGGCTCAGCATATTTATCTCTGTGTAGAAAGCTTGGAAGAAAACACATTCAATCTTAGGACACCATTGTGTGCAGCCTGTTTTCACAGCTTGTCAGTGGTATGTAGAATTGTTTTCCACAATGACATTTAGATGACAGGTAAACACAATTTAAATTTTGGTTTTGGGCAAGTTAATTAGATGGCTATACCATCACTTGCTGTAATTAGGTAATAAATTCTAAAGTTCAAAAAATATTTTTTTGCAAGGCCAGATGAAGGTTTAGCAAAAGCCATGAAAGGCCACGTGCCTGGATATTACTGTACTCAGTGCGTCTGGTGTGAATTTATTACATACCTTGATGCAGATCCCACCTCCCACCCCCCCCACACACCTTACTTAGCATAAGAACTACTATAGACATAGCTTCTAGGGAGAAAGTGTTCACAGAGGCACGGAGGTTCAGAGTGGAAAGACCAGCATTGGTCCTATTAAAGAGATAGCAATTTTTACTTTTGAAGTACTGATTTTCAGTTCATTGGTTTTCTCATTAATAGCTTTACCCCAGGATAACAACATCTTGAAGAACCTGACAAAATTATATGTAACATCTATTTCTTTAGTGCTTATGTATTTATGGGTGCTCTAAGAAGCTGGGATAATCACAGAAACAATTTTTTTAAATAAATGAAAGTATAAGGAAGTAGAAATGCTATATTGTTATTGAGACAAAATTATTATGAACCATCAAAAATTTCAGAAAATAAATGCAAACATTTTGGAGATGCCCTTGAAGATAACTCCATGCTAAAACATGTTTGGAACTATTCATTGTTATCTATCATATTACATTGGGGGAAAACGAGTAAGTAGATATCTTGGTTTAATGAAGTCTAAATCTAAATGTAATTGTAAAATTGCCTTCTAAGATTTAGCCAACTTATGATGAACCTGATGGAAATTATCCATTTGTGGGTCATTGACCAGAATTGTGCTTTTTATATGTGAATTGAATTGAACCCTCAGAAAACATGTATCAGCAAGCAGATAAAGGGTCTTGAATTGGCCCGTGCAACAACAGGGTCATTGTCTGGACAGTCCGTGGTTTAGAACCTGATGGAAGTCACACAGCTGGGCAGAGGAAAGAAGGAGGCTCCTAAACTCGAAAGTGCTGAATCCAATCGGCACGCTCTCCAGTTCAGTCATACGGCCACAGAAAAGTGTGCAAAGCCATTTTTTGGAAAGGTGGTTAAATGGGTTGGGGCAACAGAAAGATACAGTCATTATAACTCAGGCTATATTTCCTCTTTAGATTTTAGGGTAAAGCAATAATAAGTATTTTCTTGGCTATGACAAAGAAAGCCTCCCCACACATTCCTAGGTAGTACCCCACATAAAGGCTACTGAAATCCTACCCGGTACCTGACTTTATTAGAAGTCAGTGGACGCTGTGTAGCATGAACACGGAGTGTGTGTGTCTTGCACGAAGACAGTGGTGTGCCTGCTCTGTCGAGTATTATAGTCAAGTGCATTATTTACAGACAGTAGAAAACCCTTTGGGAATTTGTGTAAGGTTTTTTGTTTCTTGCCAGTTAAAGGTGTGGATTCCGTACTGTGCTTTTATTATCCTCCCCTCCACGCCAGTAGTTGATGAATCACACCTGTATTCCTTAGAATAGTATCCCCCCCCAAACTATCACTCCTGAAAAATAATGGCCACAAAGCTAACATCTATTGAGTGCTTACTGTGTTTTGGCTCCTTTTCCAAATTGCGTTGTAGATATTAGCTCATGTATTCCTCACAAGAGCCACCTGTTGAGTATAGACTCCTCCCTTTAAAGAAGGGAAACTGAAGCAGGGTCAGTCACTTGTCTGTGTTCACACAGCTAGGACATGGAACAAGTGGAATTTGACCTCAAGCAAGAAGCTGCAGAGTCCACACTTAGTTAACGTAATCCACGGCCCCACCCCTCCTGAGCGATGCTGCCAGGAGTCTCTTACTGTGGAGAATCCAGTAATAAATGTATTACAATAGATTCCCCTCTTTTGCTAGCTTACAAAAAAGTTTATGC